GAACTCTCCATTTGATAGGGTTACAACAGATAGATAGGAAAACATCGTGTCGTAAGTACATCACAGACTGGAGTGTTATCACAACTCGCGTAAAAACAATTATATAAATACTGCGGAGATCGGCTTTCATTAATTCCATTGCAAATCAAATTAGAAGCAGTACGTACATATATATGTATATATATGTATATGTATATGTACATATATATGTGTATATATATATATATATATATATATATATATATATATATATATATATATATATATATATATATATATATATATATATTCTCTCTCTTCCATTCTCTTTTCCAAATTAAAATCATTATCCTTTTCCCATAGTTCTATCCTATGGTTTCAATCATTCCTTTCCCAACGATCACAAGCTGTTGCTATTCCTAATCAACCCTTGTCTTCCTATCTTACTTTGTCCGCAGGAGTGGTCCAGGGCTCTAGCATATCTCCCCTCCTTTTTAGTTCTTATATCAATGACATCCATAATTCAACCCTTCACTGCTCCCATCACCTTTACGCCGATGACTCCCAAATCTACCTTTTCTTCCATCCCTCAGAGTTGCATGAAGCGTTTGCCAAAATTCAAGAAGACTTCAATCGGATCAGTGCCTGGGAAAACTTAAATGGGTTAAGGTTAAACGCTGCAAAAACTCAAGCCATTGTCATTGGTTCCAAACCCCTTCTCAGAGCCAATACCAACATACCTATACTGTACTTAAATGACCATCCCATTACCTTCACCTCCTCAGTAAAAAACCTAGGCATTTTCATAGACCAAACCCTATCCTGGAAACACCATATTGCTCACATTACCCGACAGTCAATTGGTACCTTGAAACTATTCCATCGCTTCCGCCATCTCCTACCCATCTCCACACGTAGACTCCTAGTAACTTCCCTCATCTTCCCCCACCTTGATTACGGCTGCGTGGTGTACGGTGGCCTCTCGGCAGAACTCGGGGAGAGACTGAAAAGAATTATGAATGCCTTCGTAAGATTTGTCACAGGGGCCCTGAGGTATTCCCGTGTTTCGCACCAGTATGCTGAATTAGGATGGCTCTTCCCTTCCTTCCGAAGACAATATTTCCTAGGCACATTCCTTTACCAAATAATCAATAGTCATCGTCCGTCCTACGCATACAATCTCCTACAATTCAAATCATCTATCCACACCCTCTCCACAAGATCTCGTCCTTCTGACCTTTACACTCCTTTCCACAGATCTGCATCATTTAAACATTCCTTCGTTGTCCGTTCCACTGCATTCTGGAATTCCATCCCACTAAAAATCCGCCATGCATCATCCTTATCCACCTTTAAAACCCTCTTATTCCAATTCCTCTTCACAATCCAATCAGACGCTGGTTAAATACATACTATGTTATAAGGATTTAATTTTCTTTAGACATTATTTTTTTTCTCTTATTTTTTATTGTTTTATTCTGTGTTGAACGTGAATTTTCATCACCACTCACTAAGCATTGTGAGTAGATAAAATTTGTTTTCCTTAAGTTCTAATTTGTTATTCATGGAATGTATTTCAGTGAAATGTATTTTATTTCTAATTATCTTCAACATACTTCTCGCTATGTGTATATATATACTTTATTTTATTTTCTCTTCTCCTAATCTTTACGCATAATCACTTAAATATCTTAGGGAACATATGTATATCATTATTTGTTTTTTTATATATTTTTTTGTTTTAGTTTTTACAATTTCTTTCCCTACATATTAACAGTTATTATTATTTTTTTAAATTTTTATATTCCATCACTACAATGCTTTACCTATAAAATAGATTTTACTTTCCTTTATAATTTCAGTCAGTGATTATTATGCAATTATTTTAGCTTCAATATTGCAGTACTGAACCCCTATTACCAAACTGTCCTCGTTAATTTATCCTAAGAGCTTAATTAATACTTAATGTATTACATGTATTTTGTCATTATTCATTGTAATAAGTCTTTTGACCAGATTTGTAGTTAATATATATGAACAATACTGTTATTCTAAAGGGACCTAGTCCCAGAATAAAGATTATTTTTCTATTCTATTTATATATATATATATATATACGAGGAACGAGATTTAAATTTGAAGTACCTGAAATGTACTTGATGTAATTTAAAAAAGTACTCCTGTTCATAATTTAAATATTTTGTTTATTTTACCTTTATATTTAAATTATTATCAACATTGAAAAGTACTTTCTGCCGTCTTTTCACGAAAATCGTAAGCAGTTATATATAAAAAAAAAAAACTAGGGATTAACTGCTTAAAACATTTACGTTTATGTGTTTATTAACTCCTCAAAAAATTTTGTTATCAAAAAGTTTTGTGTGGCAAGAAAAATGGAAACAAATTGTGAGTTGAGGAAATCATTTTGATGATATATTTAGTTTCGTTTGTAATTTGTATTTATGTTTTCCTAACCACTTTTATTCTGTACATAAGAAAAAGAAACAAAAACCATTTGAAGTTTTTTTTGTATGTTTCAGAAAATTTCCTACACGAATACAATATCCTAGATTGATTGTGAAGTAAAAATAATAAAAAAGTTGAATTTAAATTACTATTATAGTCTAGTGAAAAAACAACTTGGAATTATATATTTATATTTTAATGTTTCAACTATAAGTTGAGCGACTTAACTTTTAATTTCTTACTCATTTAAAAAAAAAATCTGCTTTAATTAAAACAAAATTCTCTTAATAAAAAGTTTAGTAGTAAGAACTTAAAAGTATCAGGTAAGATTTATGGATAAGAACAACTTGCCACGTGACTGTACTGAACACTAACCTGTGAACCAATGAGAGAATATTTGCTGTTGTTCTTTATAGTTTAAAACTAGTGAGATTTTTATCCAAATGGAATGATATTTCCTCATTACGGGTATATTTAAATCAGCTATGTCTTTAATGTTCAAATAAATACATTATAATTTTTAAAATAATTATTTATCGATAAAAAAAAAAGATCTTTTAGGTGAACTATTTATTTAAAATTTAAATATCGACGTTTTTATTCGTAGATATTGGTAGGTTTGTTTAAAAAATGAAAATTAAACATACAGATTATATCACAAATAAATAATTGAGTAGCAAAACTTGAAAGCTGTTCTCATCCGTTTCTAGTCTGGTGCTCCTTAAATTAACATTAATGAAAGGACTGAGAGAATCCCCGCTTCTCCAAATAGTCCCTGAGATAAAACTCCATCATTCTAAATTCTTTACCGACTGGAATAGAAAAAAATTTGAAGCTCAAGTTGCGACAAAGGAAGGATTATAGGGAGGGGGTTTAGATAGGCAAGTTCTGTTTAAGAGGAGATAGCATTCTGCAGAAGTATTTCCACCAAGTAATTTAAAGAAGGAGGGGGGGGGCGGTTCGAGGGAATTTCGGGCTTAGATATAAAGGAGCCCAGATAAGGAGAGTTTGGAGAAAGGTACATCAAGAAGTTGGCCTGCGAATTCGAAAAGTGCCTCAGAAATTATTCAAACTTTCGTTAGGTCTAGATTTATGATCTCATATACGATGTTCCATCCTCGTATTTTTTTAAAACCTTCACTCACATCAGTCGTGGATGTGACAATAACCACAATAATACAATAATAATACCCAGCTAAGATGAAAATTACAACAAATAATTTATTTAAAACATCAGATTGTTAATTGTCTCTCTTTTGTTATTGATTATTTTTTTATTAACACTGAGTTTGGAGATGAAGAAGTATTAACGATATTTTTAACGCACATCTGGGTAGACTTTTAAGTTTTATAGAAAACATTATTCAGTGAGAAGAATGTGAGTACTTTGAAGCAATTTGAGATCAAAACAAGAATAAATTATTTTATAAAATGTGTTTTAATCAATCCGCTAAAAGGTATGTAACGATTTTCCAAGCAAAGGGCTGGACCGATTTTTAATTTTTATGGTGAGATCCCGTGAGTGTTTTGAAACAATATTTTGGCGTAATGCACAAACAAATCATTGAGTGAAATGTGTTTTAATCAATTCGCTGAAAGGTATGTAAAGATGTTTTGAGCGAATGGCTGGATCGATTTTGAGGCCTCGAACACTAACTCAAAGATATTATAACGTGAATTAACCTAGAACTGAAATTCGACTCCTTCCACTGTTCCTTTTTAGTTTTAGTTCTACTTAATTTACTCATTTCTCCTAATATTTTTTTTTGCGGGGGGGGGGGGGAGGGAGAGGGGGAGAAACATTTCCACCACACCATTCTGTGAGGAAAAAAGATTTTTTTCTAAAATTTAATATCACATGAGGGATGGAATCAACTTGCCAGGAGTGGTAATGTATATTGACAGGCAACCGACAACAGCATGTTCTTGGGCACAATAATCGTAACTTAAATTGCCCTAACAATCGACTAAGTTGTTTAAGTAGATATGAAAGAAAATTCACTTAGGAAGATAGGATTTCTCGAAATCGTTAGTCGATTTTTTAAATTAAATTTTTATTCAGTACTAGGACTTCTGATCTTCTCCGAAAATTATGTTGGTTGGTCTCCTTAGGTAAATATCCCAATAGGTTTATTAAAATAACTTCGACTATTTTCGAGTGCCCCTAACAAGCAATCACGCAATATTCAATATATATAGAAAAAAAAAATCCTAGGAAAATCATTAAAAGTAAGTCATCATGTCATTTCAGGATTCCTTTAAATGTTTATGTATTACTTGTATTTCAATATTCGGGCTGACAATCCAGAAGAAGAATGAGCTTTTTTTTTAAAAAAAACATGCTAATAATAATAAAATACTTAGCGAATGCGAAAGTTTGATCTCGATACCATTTACACTTTATTCTACAGGCCATAGTCAAAATTATTCTCCAGCCCTATGTTTCAGTCTACACCTCGAATGTAGGCCGGTCGGCACAACGCTAATTACCATCTTAGGAATTAATGCGTTACTTAGCCTCACAACTTTAATTCACCTCAACTTCACACTCTTACTGATAAGGGAAGGTGAAGGAGACATTGCAGAAATGAGCGATAGTGGCCCTCGAGCCTGGCCTGGCCACATCCAAGGCACGTACTTAAACGGATTAATTCCTACCAGCGAGGACAAAGAGAGGAATTTTTATCCTCAGTCTGCTACGTGTACCTAATGCCAACTTGAGCAGCCGGTTGATTTTTAAAATATTATTTTTCTAACGAAGAAATGGAAGACATCATTAATGTTTTTTTTTTCTTCGTAAAGAAATCTCAATTTTGGGTAATCTGTTTTGAAATAAAAACAAAACTATTCATAATAAAAGGCTTGGTGAGCCGGAAGGTTCGATGCCGATAACTCCAATTTCTGTCTACATACTTCCATTAAATGGACCCTTTCTAAACCCAACTACATAAGATAATGCAACCTTAAAGCTCTATTCTACACTTCCTACACTAACTAGCCCACAAAGCGCCTATTAATCTTTTAGGGATTCGTTCCCTACAAAGTTCAATAATTTTAGATGTTCGTTATATTCGGCGCAAAGCTGTCTACTCAATTATATTTATTGTGCACAGTTCACGCAATAAGACCAGCCATGCACAGCCATCTAAATTCTCCAATTTAATCGTCCTCCTTTGATCCAAATTTTTTGTGCATTACTTTATTTACAATGATCTTAAAGTTCTGCTTTTTTAAAACAAAAGTATAAAAATTTGGCATATTAAGAAAACTATTAATAAAAACTATTAATATACAACTATTAAATAATACAACTATTAAAAGCTATTAAATAATACAACTATTAATGTAACGTTTTTATTTTTATTTTTTAACTATAAAAATCAGTTGTAGTATTGATCAAAATTAATAAAAAAAATAATGTGTTGCTTTTTAATATAAGAACATGCAATTAAAATAAAAACATATATATTTGGTACTTTAACAAAAATATTTATAAAAAACTATTGCAATAATAAAATTATTAGTTTTATTTATTTTTATTTTTTAACAAAAAAAAATATCGGTTGTAATATTAATCAAAATTAATGAAAAAATCTTAGTGTTGCTTTAAAAAAACTTGTTTAATGTAAGAACATGTGATTAAAATAAGAACATAAATATTTCGTACTATAATAAAACTATTAATAAAATCAATTTTAATAATAAAACGATTAGTGTTAATTATTTATTTTTATTTCGTAACAATAAACTATAGGTTTTAACATTAATTAATATTATTTATAATAGACAAAAAATGGAATAGATAAAGGATTTCATAACTAAAAGGAATACTAATGAGTAAACTGCTCCACCACCTAACATTATCAGAAATCACGGAAATCGACAAAAAAAATTAAAATAAAACGCGAATATACAGAAAAAAACCCAGAATAGATGTTGAAACACATAACAAAAATAAATAAAGGCCAATAAAAAAATATTTATGTAGAACTGTTGCTATAAGAAAAAAATATGTCCTATAAACATTGAAAAGTACGGAAATAAATATTAAAATTAATAATTAACTTAAAATAGAAATTATCAGCTCATTGGCATAAATAGACACTCTTTTTTAAAAGAAGATTACTTTTATTTTAATTTTCTTTAATTATTTATATTTATAGCATTGCTAAGATAAATTGTAACTTTTTCCATTTCAAATTTAATATTTTCCTTTTCTAATATAACTCTTTAAGTTTAGATTTTGATTAGAAAGGGTCACATATGAAGTAAAACAAGTTATATTTGATTTGTAAAGGGTTTAATTTGAAATGGAAAAAGATACATTTGAAACAGAAAATGTTACGATAGTCTTTATGCTATATTTTCCTATCGTTCGAATATATTTTATGGATGACCATTTTTAGCATTAAGACTTGTTACCCTTTCATGAGGCACATTGTATTATCAATAAATAAATTTAATTAAAAAAATTTGGACTCTAAGTATCTCAAAACTTTTAGTTCGGTAAAAAATTCGGATTCAAAACTTGTCACGATTGCAACAATTTATTGTATATAATTGTGAAAGTAAATACATTTATTAGGCTTTACCTGGATTCGCTTAACGGGAAAAAATGTGAATATATATATATTGATATAATGTGTGTGTGTGTGTGTGTCAATGTAAATGTACACGCGAGATGCTGCATTAACAGCTGTGGCACCTTGGTAATATAAGTACCATGCATACAGAAAAACTAGAGATGGTCACCACACCTGGCCCTCGAATATAAAGTGGTCGATTAAATTTTCTATTAGGCGCAAGCAACCCTCCTCTCCTCCCCCTTCCCACTCCCAATTAAATCACTTTACTTCACTGACCGGGCTTTAATCCCTCCTATTTATCGATGTAGAGGTTGACTTTATGATCTGTTGAAATATTTATCCCTTGTGGCTGGAAGCTCTTTTATAGCAGTTTGAGGATTCATGTATAAGAAGTGGATCTAGACGCGATTAACCTGTAATTTGTACCTTTTTTTTTTTTTTTTTTGTAATTCAAGGCGTATCCTATAACTTATGTTTGTTCGTTTCAGCCTCACTCAGAATCCATGGATGTTAATCAAAAAATTAAATGATTTTTTTTACTTTTTATTTTTTTTCTCGTTGGCCCAAGATTTAAATTGAAGTCCTATACTATACTGTCTCAATTGTTATATTTAAAAAAAAATTGAGATATGGATATGAATTATTATTATTTTTAAAAAATCTATTTTAGAATCTTCCATAAATTTGTACAACGACTGAAAGGTATCCCTTTCCCAGATTCGCCAGCCCTTGGAGGAAAGCGCTATTGTTTTGGATGAGGGGGTATTTATTCCGGTATTTGTCATATTCATATACATTATTTACTTGTAGAGTGGTAGTACAAGGCGTGAATGGCCTGGAAAACTTGGAAAAAATAGAGTCTAAAAATCTTCTGAGTGAAGGGTGCACAGAACAGAAGGATAAACCTACGTTGCATGACATTTTTCTTTCACCTCGTGTTAGGAATATTAATATTAATATTCCATCAAACTTTTATTGCTGTGCTGCATCTTACAGTTGACTATGGTCTTTTAGTTCACAATTTTATCTTTGACCAAGAAATAAATACTAGTTTAGTTTTTAATCTATTAGTCGTAATTTCTAAAAATATTTTTTATTTATTTTTTTTAACTTTATAACATCTATGCAATATCAAAGTGTGTATAATAGTAATTACAAATTAATTTTTTTTTAAAGACATCAAATGTTTATATTATTGTCAATATTTATATGGAATGAGAAGGTTTTTTTTTTCTAGTTTTATTCCAATGAAAAATGTTTTTAGGTTTTATTAAAGAAACATAGTTCCTCACTATGAATATTTAAATAAAAACATTTTTTCTGGTATATTTTTAATGTTTCTTCTCGTTAATGGATATAGTTTGAATTGCACCAGATGTGATTCTCAGAGATTTTTATTAGTTTAGGAAGCACCGCCTTGATGATTCAAAATAATAATAAATCACTTAAATATCAATACGGTGTAAACGATTTTCTATTTCATGCTGAAGATGATGCAAACATTTTTGATTCATTAAGAGAGGAGTAACTACTACTATAAAAACGTACACGACCATAAAATGTTTATAAACGGCTACGATGTAACACACCAGTTATTTCATATATATTTATATATGTGTATATATATGAATGAAGATAAATGTTATATTTTACACCTCGTACAATTTACACATGATGTTTCGGCAAAGTCATAATTTCATATCCATATTAAAAAAAAATAATCAGAAAAACTTTTAGAAGATTTTTATATCTGAACTTGAGGAAAATAGTTTAAAATAAATCCTTTAAAATAACTTAAATATATTAAAACTATATATTTTTTTTATTATGGTTGGATGTTTTGAGAATATGAATTAATATTAAAACCATTCGTACGTAATTTCAGTATGGCGTATAGTTTATTAGTTCACTATTACAGAAGAATAAAAATTATATATTACAGTATATTATATGTTATGTACTATATATATATATTCTACCAAGTGAGAACATAACGCCAATCATAGAAGACGGAACTCTAGCCATCTATATTTATACATTAAGGACTAGAAAGAGAGTAAAGGGTATCAGAGAAATAAATAAGGCACTTTATATTCTCATAAAATTATGAAATATATGAAGAGGAGCATAAGTCTCCCGATGTTGGTGCTTCTATAAGTGGTTCAAAGGAATTGAGGGGGGAAAAGAAGGGTCGCGAGGGGGGTGGAGTATGGGACCGACTCAAGCTCCCCTTCCAGGATTAGCAATATTTTTCTTACACCGTACATCTTTTATTATACAAGCAACATTACCTTCATTCTAATATATGTCCCCGCCTTACATTCTCTTGGCAAATCGCGTTGTAACCCAGTTATGGCTCTTTTCATCTTATGATCGTACCACACTGTTCGATCTTGTAAATCGAGTGTTATTTTTATTTAACACATGTCGTCGGTCTCAATATTTAAATGTGTGGACAAATACCAACTTTTAAAATGATTTAAATAATAGATTTTCGTCTATAATTTGACGGAATTTACTAGAGAGAAACCAATCTATGAAATGAGCTATTTTGTTAAAGTATCTTCAATGGAAAATGAAAGTTGAAAAAATATATAAAATACGATGTTTCTATTTTAAAAAGTTGAAAAAAACAATCTATTGGGAGAATGTAATGGAAAATAAAACTACTTGCGACATAAATATGATTATTCTACTCTGTTCATTCCATCCAATCTTTATTCGTAAAATTAAGACAATAATAAAATAAGCCAAAATCAAAACGTTACGAGTAAACGCGGTTTTACGTTGAGGCCACCGATAAATCGACTGTTCCTTCTTCAAAATTAAACTTAACTTAATCTAAGAAATTTTATGTTATAGTTTTAAAAAATAATGAAGGAAAAATAAAAATGAAATAACTTTAAAATAAATCGACAATCTTATTCAAAACCAAAATTTAGTTTTAATATTTACAGGAAGCTGTGATAGCTTACTACAGTATAACCGAAGATTTTTTTTTTTTTTCGTTATTTCTTATCTCCCCATTTTTAAAATACA